GGCTAATACCGTAAGTTTTGAGGTAAAATTAAATCGATTTTCGCATTTCTCGTCAAAAATATTGTTCGTATTTTCAAAGCTGCATATTTTCTAAAATAATGGATCGATTTTCAAAAAGTAAGAATCGATATATAGAGAATTAAAAGCCCTTTCTAATGACCCCCTACTTGACCCCCATTCCCATTTGAAAAAATTTAGGGGATAGCACCCCCACTTAGGGGGTTGAAGATTTTGGTATGCTCTTTGAGCCAAAAGTTGTCCCCCTCAGAAACAAATTTGACCTGTTTTTGGAATTTGCCGAAAAGTTCTTTACTACCCTGTAATGCCTTGCGGTACGTTTTCGATGGGCTACCCTGTATAAAATCTTTGTGTCAACAACAATCTGTATATGGTTTGTTTTTATAGCCAACAACCCTATTGAGGGGTTCCAGAAAGCATGTTGTTCTATTTGGTTTGAGAAGATTTGACCATATTTCTCATAAAATAAAAATCTTATAATATAATAAAAGTTTGTGTAATGCCGTTTAATACTACGATTCCACTGAAGACAGAATTAAACTCCTGACAGCATATCCTTTTTAAAAAGTGATAAAAAAATATAACTTTTAATTATGTGTTATATTTTTGTTATATTTTATTTGTTATATTTTTATTTATGTGTTTATTTCCCAGTTTCTTTTTTTGTTTAGTTTTAATTACGTACTTTGTAAAGATTTTTTAGAAGCTATATTGAAGTAAGTACTTATTATTTTATTTATTTATTTTGTTTTTAAGAATTAAAGTTTATTATTTTTAATTGCCGAAAACAATAAAGATCCAACATTTTTTGACAATTTACCAGCTGTTTGCATCCCTGGCACAGGAACTGGTTAATTTTAATAGAAAACCGTAGTGTACATTTCAAAAAAACCGATTACTGTAAAGTTTCAAGTTATTTTTATTAACCTTTCGGTTCGTGTTTGTTTGAGCATATCGAGGCTCCAAATAATAGCCGAATAACGTGAAAAGCGTACAACGGACTCCAGTAAACGACGGTGTCGGCCGTCATTGTCTGTTGGCCCGCCGAAAAGCGCAAACGTCAATCATCCCATTGTGAATCCAATTTGGCCATCGTTATTACGGTTTCGTCGCGATAGAAGAAGCCCCTAAGAATTCGATCCGTACGCGGAGGTAATGACGGGGGCACATGTCAATAGCACGCCCAGTACATCCGGTCGACATTCCCACAAAGGCCTCGACGTCTGGCGCGGCTTCCCCGGATCTGGGGAGGGAGTATTGGGACTCTGTGGACTCGTGAGAGTAAAAAAACAGATTTTTTTGTATAGTGTATCGTGTTTATTGAATTTTGCAAAACAATTTTGGGTTGCGGGTTAAAAACCTTGGATTTATATTTTGTTCGTCACTAGCGCCATCTATTTTTGACGTATTGAGTTTAACGCGCCATCAGTCGTTGCTTTGTAGGGCTTGAATAAATAATGACATTAAATTGTAGTCGAGGGGTTATAAATAACGACGATTTTTTATCTAAATTTTTCAACTGCTCGACATAATAAGATGAAAGTGGCTTCTATTGAAAACTATTTATGTCGTGGAATTGGAAACATTCACCTATCTGACTACTAAAATCTGAAAATTTCTAAACGACGACCGTTTCTAGTTCCTACCTGAAAGGGCCATAATTTGTCTTGAATTTTGAACGTTTTAATTTAAGAATTGGCTTCCAATGAATGTTGAAGATATTTGAGTGAATAGGTTCACTGTGGGAAGGGTTTAGCTGGGAGAAATAAAATTTATTATAGCCAATTAAATTGTTCATTTGTATTTGGCGAATTAAGTAGTTGCTTGTAACTTATGGGGCTTTTATTTGAATGGAAATATTAAATATTTAGTTCTAAGAACTAATTTAAAAACTAAAATAAATGAAATATTTGCTGTGCAATATTAAATTATTTCTTTCTTGAAAAGCATTGCTATACTCATTATTCGAGAAGCTACCTTAATTACTATTACTGGTCAAATTAGCTTTTTCTTTTGATTTTTCTTTGTTTTTTTTTTATATAGATAGCTAGCTTACCATGTGACCTACTGGTGGAATTTACAGTATTCCACATAACGAGTAAACGCAGGGTTTCATATGAGGAAAAAGATTTTAATAATTAAAAAGTCGGCAAAGTTTTTACTTGTTTTTGAAGGGTAGACATTGCCATTAAATATGAAGGAGGATATGGGACAGATGTCCTGCGGGAATCATTTGGCATACTCGACTTTTAAGAAAATTCTGTATCACGTTTTCGCATACCTGCGGCTGAATTTCGTTGATAACTCTCCGAATGTCTACCTTTAATTCAGTAGTGGTATTCTTTTGAGCGGAATAAACTTTGGACATTACGAATCCCCATAAGAAAAGTAGCATGGCGTAAGATCGCATGGTACTGGTCGTCAAGTCACTTCACTGTTACGTGAGTTGAGTCGTCTATTAAATTTCTGAAACCATTTGTTTAAATTTGGCAACTAATCTTTTTCACAGTTCTTTCATTTAGAGCGTTCCTTCTACCGGAAATTCCACGTAGTTTGCGCACAGTCTCAGCTACACACTCTCCCTACTTGCAATGAATGTTCACAGTCTTCACTCCCTCATCTCTCGTATGGAGCCCCATTTTATTTAACCACAACGTGTTTACTACAACACGTGACCCAGCTCAATGCTTCCAACTTTTCGGAGTGAAAATGGCGCACAATTCAAATCCTGCGTTACTTTTGAGACATCCTATAGACCTCTACTACTCTACATAAACATTTTTGTCACGTAATGAACACATTTATTATCTAGAAGTAAGTGTTGGTGTTTGGAATTATATGATTCGTTGTAATCATTAATGTTGCTTGTTTAATATTAAATGTTTAGTTTTTCCCATAAGTATATTCGCATAGCTCTTGGATGGACATAAACATAATATCCCACAAAACATTTTTGTGTGTAAATAATTACATAATTCTGGAAAACAATTATTTAGAAAATTATGAAGATTGATTATTCATTTTTCACGGTTATATCAGTTCTTGACATATTGTTACAAAATAGTTATTTACACCATAAAGGAGGTAAGTATTATTTACCAGTCGAGGACGATTTTGCGCCCGAGCGGAGCGAGGACTGGCAATAGAGTCCGAGACTGAAAAATTATACTTAACTGCTGCGTGATATATAACATTTTATCTGCTTTTCGCCCTTCCACAAATAAGATCCACTTCTTATTTGTGGGAGGGCGAAATGGGCGGTAACTATTAGACGCCTTCGTTATAGCCATCTTTCTCTATCGCATGGATTTCAATGACTTACTTTATCGCTCTCACGTAACGGCAGATGGACCATCGGTACTTTCCGACCCTGTATGTTACTAAATGTAATAACTGTACAATTACTATAAATATTCATTTATAATAATTAATAAATTGTAATGTTTATCAAATATTTCTATTTATTTGTTCATAAGATATGTATTTATAACTCGAAATCGCTTTTTTCCCTAGGGAGGTAAGTTACCTCACTCACCTCCCGTTGTCCATAGCAACTTCCACTGCTACGGTAAAATCCACTTACCTCCTCAAAAACAATGTATTAATAGTGTATTTACTATAGTGGGAGCAGATAAAAAAAATTACGTACACGTTTTTGCCAATATATATGTTCATTTAACATTTTGTCTTAGATAGCTTCATTTATTTAAAACAATTTTGAATAAATTCTACTTTTCATAAACATAACATTTTCATTTATTGATACTATATTTAATGATCAAAGTTAATAATTACTTTGTGTTAACAGTCACTTGTTTTTTTGCTTGCTCTGTCGGACGTGTTCCTTTGAGAGCGTATATTTCATGTACGATTTGGAACCTGATTTTACGTCTGCAAAGAGTCAATCTACGCGTAGAATCCAGTAAATCCCATCTTCCAGTCGCCCGCGAACAGCTCGTAAATCCTACGGGGTAAATCATAAATCCCCGCCCCCCGATGGAACCGATTTTAAATTGTAAAATTTCTCCCGGAAGCAACGTTTTATTTATCCGCGCTGTGCGCCCCCCAATAGGATCGATACGGTGCTCTTCCGAACCCCGCCGATGCCGAAAATCTACTTTTTCCCGCCGCCCGCGACCTTCCCGTCGACGGGCGGAACCCGGAGAGTTTTTTCTGTCGAGATAAAATCTCGGCGCTTTATTTTTAAATCGTTGGCCTCTCCAAAGCACCTTTGATTTATGCCCCGCGTCAACGCGTCACCGGAAAACACGGCCGCGTTTTAATCTTCCCTTCTTTCTCTCCACGCAGAGCTCGTTTCTGTTTACCGGAGCCCCGACGCATGCGCTCCGCGTTAGGGGACAGCCAGCTTTCCAATTTGGGGATAGATTCTATCCGGAGGCTATAATGGTAGTATCAGATGTATTAGCACCACGCTTAAGATGCCTATGTTCCCTCGTTGGACCGAGAGATCGGTCAGTTTTAGAGTAAAAATAAAAAGCTCTGCGACAAATAGGTGTTACAAATTTACAAATTTGAAAAAGGCATGTATAAAGACTTTTTTATATCACTTCTAAGATAATAGGGAACGATTTTATTGCTGTATACAGGCGTACAAATGAATACAAAGCGTACAGCTGAGCATAAGGAGACAGTAATTTAGACAGACGAAGATGGGAGAGTGGCCCCACCGTCCGGCGGGTCAGACGAAGAGCTCCCGTGTCTCCAAGAACGCGCTACTTGTTTTTAAGATTGCGTCGGCTCCGGCAAGACGTATCGCGGATTCCAGTGAGCATAAGGAGGATGCCTCGCATTCTATCTTATGCACATACACCGCCTGACGCTAATAACGGCTACGGGAGCCCAGCTATGCGAAATCTCCTTTTGAAGTCGGGCTAACATTGCATCAATATTTATCAAATGAGTTCGCACTTTTTTTACCTTGAGACTTAAAGCTTAGCTGTAATCGTTTTCTTTTGTTACAGCGACGATTCCACGCCGGGCGCCATATGCCTACCCGGCACCAAAAACGGGCTGGACAAAAACAAGAATCTCACCGCCGAGGAGAACCAAGCACTCATGAAGAGGTACCTGCAATGCCCTGGCATGTGCCGCGTGGAAGTCCTCAAAAAGTTCGTTAGGAACAAGTATAACGTCGATACTAATCGTTTCTACGTAAGTTTTGTCGTAAAATATATTCAAACTTCAATTCTGACCCCAATATTTTCTTTACAGATCGATATTTTATACAAACGAGTACCCCTGCCAGATCACTACACTTTGATCGACATAGCATACATCTACTCGTGGAAAAGGGTAAGTTACAAGCACCACTGCGTTTAACATGTAAATACTCACCCACGTTTCACTTTCAGAACGAACCGATGACGTTCTATTTCCGGATCACCGACATCAACAAGGTTTCGGAACGGTTCGACTTCTTCAACGGTTCACCAGTTCCCGAATTCGTTATGAAAACACCTAGCAGGACTTCTAGGACCAACGGGGAGAGGGGTTCTGCCAAGAGGAAGGAGAGCGCGAACAAGAGACCTTCCAAAGTCAACAAACAACCTAGTCAAGAAACCACGAGTGAATGTGATAGGAGTAATAGTGAAACAAAGATAGAAATACCTAGTGAGAGGGGTGTCGGTGAAGTTAAAAATAAATGTGATAGTATCGGAGACAATAAAAGTGGCGATAGTAATGGAGAAGTGGTTAGTAAGTCTCTAAGTGTAAAAGCGACTAGTAGTAATGTAGACAGTAAGAACGATAAACCGGTACAGGTGGAGAAAAAAGCGAAAACGGTCGAAAAACCCGCGGTTGTGGTCAATACGAACCCTGCTAAAGTTATCCCAAATACGAAAGACAAAGATAAAACCGACGTCGTTCAGGGCAGCATGCTGCTCAAGCCGGAAATCGCGGAACAGATAAAGACCAAGATCCAAAACGACAAAAGTGATGTCAAAAATTCGGTGTATACAAATATTACCCTCAACAGGACCAACAACGTAGAGATCATCACCAAGATCCAGAAGGTGTCCAACAAAGAGGGCCAACCGATCGGCCTAAATATCATCAAGCAAACAGTGAAAAAAGGTGGGAAAACTGGAGGTGCCAGCCCAGTTCATAAAACAGCGACGAAGAAGGTCGTCAACGAAAAGAAACAACCCGAATCCAACAAAGTCGAAATAGTAAATAAGATCGAGAACGAAAAGGTAAAAAAGGATCAGGTGCCGACTACTAGCGATAGTTTGGAGGAGGAAAAACACAAGTTCTTTAAATCCATAGAACTCACGGCAAAGAACGTCGTGCAAGGCATAACTACAAAGCAGAACGAAACCTGCGCCTCCTCATCCGGACAGAAAAGGAAGAGCTCAAGTCCCGTTAAAAACGACAAAGCGAAAAAATCGAAAGTCGACAAGAAACCTACCACGAAAATCATCATCCAACCGAAACCACCCAATCATGGAAAACCTAGCATACCCAGCCAACATCGTAACAGCGGGTTGCAGTCTTTTATCGATAGCTGCAAGATAAATATTCCCTCATCTTTATCTATTACCCTGAAAGAAACTTCTGAAGGTAGACCGCCACCGTTAGTCCCGCCCACGAAGAACTATATCGAAATCTTAAAGCTGGATGAAAATGAGTGCACAAATACTGAATCCGCACCTAAACCTGAATCAGTAGTTAAAACGGAACCGGCATCGAGGCTCTGCGACAACGACAGCGAACAGAAGGTAGACCAAGACCTGTCGGAAATCGCGAAAAGCTTAACGGAGAAGATCCCAATGTCTACGACAGTATCGCAGATAGTGGGACCCAAACCGCAGTTCCAAATACCGGTAAAAAACAACGCTCCTATTAAGTTTCACATCCAACCGTCTCCAGTACCTGAAGTACCCTGTAAAGTCTTGAACATGCCCAAGGACAATAAACTCAACCCCAGGTCCCCGCAGACCTTCCAGAAGATATTCGAGGAGTCGATTAAGAAACCTGACGAGAATGCGACTTCTCCCGAGAAAAACAAGCAGAAGGTGTTGGATTTAACTAACGAACCAGCAAGTGCGCCGAGTGTTAAGAGGAACATCTTGGAAATCGCTTCTCAGTTGTACAAAAAGACCAAATTGGAGCAGGAGAAAAGTACCTTACCAGAAACCAAAAGTGATGAATCAAACTCTTCCGCACCAGTGCCCAAAGTTCCTATACCAAGATTGCCTAGCCAGAAGGTCTCAAAATCGAGACAGAAATTTGCTGGTCCTAGATTCGAGGTGGCAGATGCATTAAAATTTCCTCAAACACTTACCAATCTCCACTCGAACGCCTTGGGTTTGAATTATACCATCTCAGTCGGGCAAAATATCGCCCCGAAAGTTAACGGGATATTATCACCTGTTAAGAAAGAAGAAGAAACGAAGACTGAGAAACTTTGCAAACCTCCAGTGACTTCCAACTCCTGCGCAGCCCCTAAAGAACTGCCAAGTGCGTCTCCAAGACCGAACATGAAGAGATCCCCTTGTCTGAATTACAACTCTCCAAGAAACTCCCCTAAGCACTCGCCCAAGTCTTCTCCAGTCGTGAAGCACATGTACGCTCCAACACCCAATCTCATGGACCAACTAAGGGTTCACACGCTCAACCAAAAGATTCCTTCGCCGAAACTGAACAATTTCTCGAAGTCGTCGCCTAATTCGTCCAAATTACCATCGCCATCTCAAAAATTACCGTCCCCCTTGTCTAAGCCAAGCACCCCCTCTCCAAAAACTAGTCTTCCCAGCAGCAGCAACTCTGCAGTGAAACCTCTCCAACCCGGTACCTCCCCTAAAACCTCCGAGGCCTCGCCTTCTTCTAATTCCTCTAAAAACGCTCCTAAGCCTTCGTCCGGTAGTCAAAATTCCCCCTTGAGTCCTAATCAGATCTTGGAGAAGTACAACATCCAGAATCTGGCCCAGTTGACGGCCAGTTTGAACTTCAATGCGGCTAACTTCGGCTTGAACCCCAACAATCAGTTAGCGGCCTTGCAACATGCCATGTTGTTGAAACACTTCGAGATGCAGAACAGGCAGAACTGGCTTAATATGAATCAGGGACCTCTGTTGCAGTACGAGAAGTATTTGCAGAGTCTAAAAAGCAACCCGAATCAACTTCTGGGTAATATCAAGGAGAACTGACCTCTTAAAGTTGTTATTTAGTTAATTAAGGACAATTCTAGCGAGCGTTTGAAATTTTTTCTACGTCCATTTTTGTTTTTTTTTTTGTTTGGTTAACGCTCTTTATTGGGATCGTTGTCAGTTATAACTCGAGTTTTTTTAACGTTGCATGGAATATTTTGCATGACATATCGTATTTTTGCCATCTCTAATATTTTAAGTAAAAACTTACAGTTACAAATCGCTCGATTTGTTTATATCTTCTTTGTCTCCAATTTCCGGTTCCTTGCGGTTTGTACATTTTTCAATTTGAAGGTTCTCTTCCCATTCGTTGTATATTTATTATTTTGTTTATATCCCGAGGGTTTTGTTAATGTTCTGTATTGATTAAATTATTGTTAATTTTAAGTTTTTTTCTTTTATGGAATTGTATTATACTGATGTAATTAGCTAGACTTAAGGAAAATGTAAAATATTATTTTGCAATTTTCATTAAAAAAATCGAAAACAATGGTCTGTTTATTTTTGGTTTTAGATCTACCGCCAGTTAGTGAATAAAGTAAGTATTCAGGGTGCTTCAGAATTTATACAATTTTGTCAAAAAAAGTCAAAAAGGGCAGTTCGAAAATTATTTAAAAATGCACTTCTGCACGGCCCTGGTCCACTGTAAAACCTGGCCTTGCGCAAGGCAAAGGATGCAGTCGGCGACCGGCACAGCAGCAAAGTGTAATAAAAAATTAACGGACAAAAAATTGAAAGAATTTCCCAAGAAAAATAAATAAAATTTTATAACGCCTATTTATATCAACAAATGCAACTGCTTTTGTCGCTACTGTTATTATTGGAGTTCGGGACTTGCTTCACCATAAATTAAAACGATATCCATCAACTGCAAGTTCCTGTACACGTAAGCCAATTGTGACATTTGAAAAACTAATGTAAACACTATCGCAAAAACGTTAATACTAAAATCGTATGTAAGGGTTGTAAATACTACTTCACTATTCAAACTTCAATATTTTTCAAGGATTTTACAAAAAAATCTGTTCCTAAATTTTTTTGGATAGGTGTCAATAAATAATATTAGAAACTATAATAGACGAAGAAAGCAATATACTTCAGTAATTCTAGTTTTTGAAATCTTGAAAGCAATGTTTTAGCACCGTCTATATTTTAAATTAAACCTAATCAATACACTTGCAAAATAAAAAATGTAATACCTAATTTGTCAAATATTTTCCATAGTTATGAACCAGTGACAGTAAACGCCTTATGTAATTTTAAGCTAGTAAAATCTCGAAAATTGAATCCTACTTCTGATCTGTCAGAAGTGGGGTCAAATTTATAGAATTTATCGAAAACGCTTTATATAACTTCTCGAATTTGATCATGAAAATCAAATCCAATTTTAAATTTGATAAAAGTTAAGAATATCCCACTTCTGATCTATCAGAAGTGGGGTAAAAGTTATAGAATGTGTCGAAATATATTTATAAATTTTATACAACAATTTTGATGTCAATATATTTCAAATTCAGGTTACCTGTATACAGGGTGTAAGCAGTTTGACTGCTATTACTTCAGCATGAGATTGAGTAATCATAAATGAACAGAAGTGTTGTATATTACAGTTTTCAAAATACAACGAGTATTAATATTGGGGAGTTTCAGCGCTTAACCTGCTGATGTACACCACGTGTACACGCGGCAGACTTACGGAAAAATTGTAAACAACTATTATTGTAAAACATTTAGTAAATTTCAAGAGAATTGTTTTCCAGTTTTTAAATAAATGAAATAAAATGTATCGATTTTGTAATACGAAGAGTGTTGTGCTTAAATTTTAGCTCGAATTTTAATAATTATGAATTTCATAAAATAGGAACTTTTAATCAAATTATGAATTTGAAAAATATGTAGTTAAAGTACCCAAAGATTCACGTCATTCAAATAATCATACGTATTAAAAATAATTTAGGTACTTACTAAAAAGCAAAATTCAGTAATTTTTAAACGTGCAAGTACAAAACAAACTACAACATATCTTCAAATAGTTCATCACCATTTTCAATGCACGCACGACACCTTCGAATCGCACTCGCTGGAAAACGCCTCAAGAAAAGGAAATATTGGTACGCAAAAAACACTCCGACACGGTCGAATCCAGATACCAATTGAATTGCGTATTAGTGGTTGCTGGATCTAGTACCTCGTGTTAATAAACCACCGTGCCGTTGTCACATTGCTCGATATGAATTTTATCGAATTTTAAATTTATAACAACGCAAATTATTTTTAGAATTAAGCATAAAGAAGTTCAAAGAAGTGATAAACATTGTATTTTATGGTATTCTATACAAACAGTTATGTCAATATTCCTTAATTAATCGAACTTTTGTACCTGTCGGATGTACCTTTTTGTTTATTTTAGTGTATAGTGTTAAAATTAAGGCAGTCAAACTTCTAACACCCTGTATTAATAAATTCTGATATAATGTATTCTTTTATAATGTAATCCATTGTCATAAAGAAAATCTAGTCTTCATTGACCAAACTCACACGGAAAAGTTAAAAGTCCGGCATTTAAGAAACAACCGCTACATTTGACACCTCTAATTAATATTTACCTCTCTTCCGAATTCTCGGAAGGAACGGGATCGAATTTGGGACCCCGGCAGTTACACATTTTTCTAGCTGGGTAACCCCTCTCTTTTATTTGCGTTGCCATAGAGAGCGACGAGAGAGAAACGACTTGAGATACTTCAGACTCTACTTGGCCTGGTAATATTTGTTTGCTTAAGCCGGCGGCACCCAAAATGTTGAACATTGCGTTTTTAATACTCATAATTATACAAGTTATGTAAATAATAAAGTGGTTATAAGATGTTACAATTTAATTTATTGTAATAATAAATTTTTTGTGTAAAGAAGGGTTTTAGAGGACATTCACATTCACATTTCCCGAAGTAAGCTGTATTATTAATGCTCTGGCAGTAATTTTGGCGCCCAATTTCTCTATAAAAATAATTAATATTCTTCGTATACAAGGAACAAATTATTAGATGTAGATTGGGCACGTAATCCAAACAGTCGAGGTTCGAAAGAAACTTTTATCCTGGCCCCAGGGAGGCTTTGAAAGTCAGCGGCGTTCAGAATGGCTCAGCGTTTACATCAGAATGCAAATTATAAGTTTCCCCGTTGCCGTATAGCTAAATACCGACTTTTGGAAGTTTGAATGGGCGAAATACTGAAGTTTTCATCGGACCGGCAGGGAAGGGTGGGAGGTCAGTGACCAACAAACGGTAATAGAAAAGTCAGCCGGAGAAATTCGAAGAATGATACCTCAGTTTACCTTATTGTCCGTAATTATTTATTTGACTGGTTATTTCTAACAAACTGACTAATAAATAACTGCGCCGATTGCCGATTATACATTTCTTCGCGACACAATCTCTATAACATAGTTTGCGTTTCGAAAAACCACGTGTTCGTTATGAAAACTTGTTGAGTTGACTTAAAAGTCAAATGTGACAGTTTTGTTTATCAATGACGAAGTAAGTAATAATATAATAAATATTATATGATATCGTGTATCTGTTTGGAAGGTAGATAAAAAAGTCATTGTCGCATTTACTTTTAAGACGATCCAAAAAAAGTCTTCATGACGAAAACCGAGTTTTCGAAATGCAAACTATACAGGGTGAGTCAGAAGAATTTCTCCAAACTCTAGAAATGGATTATATACGTCAAAATAATAAAAAATGTTTTATGCGATTTTCATTTGTTTTCAAGTTATATTACAAATTTTAAAAATTTCACATCAAAGTATGTCATGCTCCAAGTTTAAAAGTATGATAGGTATCTGTCGTTGTCATTTTATGTTTCAATATAACATTATTTGATTATACGTTTATACCATCGAAGTGTTACAAAATGCCCAGAACTTATTCAAATTTATAGTACGCAATTACTCGTATGATGTTTGTTTATTGTTTTTGTAATGGGAATGCTAATGTTGCTGTTGATGAATATGGTCAACGGTTTCCACACCGCAGATGTCCTGATAAAAATGTATTTATTAGATGTTAACAAACTTTGCGAAACTGGAAAGCTTCCCAGTGCTAGTATAACATCTGAACGAGCTCATCCATAAGGTTTAGAAATATTCTGGGATTAGTAGAAGATGACGCAACTACCAGCTCACGAAAAATTGCTACTCATTTGGGCATTCTACGAAAAAGAGTAACAAAAACCATCCACGAGCAAGGCTTATATCCGTACCATGTACAGAGTACAACACCTACAACCGGAAGACTATGCTAAGCGTATCTATTTTGTCGTTGGATCAATAATAATCATCTTCCCGTATACTTTTTACGGATGAAGCAACATTCATCCGTAACGGCATAACTAAAACTCGGAACTCTCATATATGGTCATAGGTGTGGTGTGGTGTGGTATGATCGATAGTTATTTCATTGGCCCTTTCATTTTGGAGAATCATCTCAAAGGAGAACCTACTTAAATTTTTTACAAAATTAATTACAAGTACATACTACTAAAGGATGTTCCTATAAACATGAGAATGTGAATGAACTACCAGCACGATGGAACTCCTGCACAATTCGCTCATTCAGTCGAGCTACATTTGAAAGAGAGGTTTCCAGGGCGTTGGATTGGCTGCGGTGGTCCTATTATTTGGGCTCCAAGAACTCCAGACCTCACACCACTAGATTACTGTTTATGGGGGGTGGTTGGGGTCGAGAGCCAGTTTATTGGACAAAGAGTATGGTGTGTGAAATCATGGAATGTATGGTTAATCCAAGGAATTTAGTGTAAAAGCCTTTCTACCCAACGGCCAAAAGCAAACAGTGACTTCAATTCAATTTGACTGTTAGAGGTTTTTTAAAACCTTATGAGCTTTGACCTTCATATTCGCAGAAACATAATTCCGACCGCCGCCTAAATTATTCTACGTCCTAAAAACATTACACCTATTATTCACAGTCTCTCTCAAGCTCTCGTAGCGTAAACAAGCCTTATTTTAATTTAAACAATAAATATATATATAACGAACGTTCGCCAGTTGACTTTATTGATGCCCGACCGCCTTAGTTCATTTCTACTTGTAATGATGCACATGGTCTAGTTCTGAGTCAATGTTTTCACAACGTGCTTATTAGTAGAATTATGCGGATACGCCACGCCTTTCGCGCATTTCGCGGCTCATGAGATATTGAAACACCTCTACACACAAAATGCCTGGATTATCTATACAAGTATATCTATACTTTTGTTTAAATTTTTATATTAATTAAAACTATACAGAACGATTGGCCAATAATAATACTGCAACTTTTAAAACTTGCAGCATGCAGCAAGATTTAGG